CTCAGTATTCACTTTCAATGACAACCTGTACACACAAACAGATGGCGTAGTCATGGGCTCTCCCTTAGGTCCTGCCTATGCTAATGGCTTTCGGGACTATCAGGAGAAAGAATGGTTAAATCAAAGCCCTGATGAATTCAGACCAAATTTGTACCACAGATCCGGGAATGATACATTTCTTCTTTTTAAAACTGCTCCCAAGTTGAACAATTTGTTTCATATCTAAATACTAAACACCATAGTCTAAAGTTCATATGAACAAAACTCAAAACTCCCATTCTTAGACACCCTCATAACGAAAGAGAATAGCAGGCTAACATCAGTCTATAGGAAACCCACATTTACTGGTTTGGGTATAAACTACTCAAGCTTCTCCCCTAAGCTCTTTAAACCCAATAGCATTTCCACATTGATCAACAGAGCATACAGCATCTGCTATGATTACGTTAGTTTTGACAAAGAGATGAAATTCTTACTTAATTACTTCACAGAGAATTCATACCCTAGCAAATTGTTTTACAGAATACTAAAGAAATTTAGAACAAAAAACACTCGCCTTCTACACCGGTGTTATCAGTTGCAAAATTACGCTTCCATTCCTTGGGCATTTAAGTTTTAACCGTAGAAAGGAATTTCAAAACATTTTTAAAGACACATTCCCCCAAAATGTGCTGTCTATCAGTTTAAATGTTCGAGATGTAACTCTCTACATGTGGTTAGTACCACACGCTCTCTTCAACACTGTATCTTAGAACACATGGGGAAGTCTTACCGTACAGGTATTCAGCTCAGTTCACCATCACCATCTGTCATCAGAGAACACTGCTATTCCACTGGACATCCACTCAAACAAAATGATTTTCACATTGACCTCTGCCTCACACAGACTTAACCTCAGCACCTTAGAATCCCTGTTTATCTCAAGGATAAAACCAGAACTTAACAGTACAATAACTGCACAATAAATGCATATTTTTCCATGTAAGTTTTTATAATAATGGTTGTATGTTCTTTGATTATTTTACTTTCCATTTGTTCGTTTATTTTATAGTCTATTTTAAATTTCAAGTAAATAATTACATTGTTTACTATCATCTTGTTGCACTCGTTCTACTGCTTGTATAGCCGGCTATATTAATGGGAACCAATTTTTACTGTTGTAATTCTTGCTATTTTTGCACATGTTTATGTTTTTTAATCTGTTTCTTTTTTAGCACTGAAGATGAAGTTAGAAACTGCTTATCGTTTAACAGCAGCTGTGGCGTGGCAGAGCGATTGCTGCCAACCGAAAGGCCTCAGGGTCAGTCTCCTCATTAGCTGAGGTAATTTTTGTATGCTGTTCAGTTTTCATTTCTACCTGAAATAATAATGGTGAATACATATTAATGACAAAATATGATAGTGATTATGTTATCATAATAGTGAAAGTAGCGAGGATGATATAAGTGATAATGTTGATAGTAATAACATTGATTATAGTTATAACTATATTGATATCAATAATGGTGATAATTGATGATAATGATTATAATAATATAGTCAATATGAATGAAGATGGTGATGATGATAATGATAATGATAATAATCATAATCATATTAGAAAAACTGATGATGGTGATAATAATAATAATAATGATATTAATGATAATAATAATGAGAGTGATAATAATAATGATAATGAGGGTGATAATGAATGATAATGAACACAGTAATTATAATGATAATAACGATAATAATTATAATCATAAATACATTTGATAAGTGTAATAATGACTGTATAATATTCCCAATGAGAATAATTAAGATAATGATAATGATAGGAAGATAAGTCCGATCTCTTTCACTCGGCTTATACATATGTGTGTATACATAAACACACACACACACACACACATACATATATGTATACATACATATATATATATATATATATATATATATATATATATATATATATATATATATATCTGTGTGTGTGTGTGTGTACTCATAAACATATATACATACATACATGCATGCATACACACACATATAGACGCATATATATATATATATATATATATATATATATATATATATATATATATATAGATAGATAGAGAGAGAGAGAGAGAGAGAGAGAGAGAGAGAGAGAGAGAGAGAGAGAGAGAGTTATAATCTATAATTTATAATTATAATTTAGTTTGATACCATTTGTTACAATGGATATTCTTGGTCTGACATGTTGTCTGTTTTATTTTGCTTCTAAATTATCCCCCGTGTGCAAGGTCAGGTTAGCAAGATTGCTAGACGAGATCGCTACCGCTGCACCACACAGCGCACATAGATAGATAGATATAGATATGTACATATAAGTGTGTGTATATATATCATATATGCATACATACACACACACATATATATATGTATAATATATACGTGTGTGTATATATACGTTATACATAATATATATATATATATATATATATATATATATATATATATATATATATATATATATATGTGTGTGTGTGTGTGTGTGTGTGTGTGTGTGTGTGTGTGTGTGTGTGTGTGTGTGTAATATATAAGCGCGTGTGCACAATTAAGTTTACCATCTTATAACCAAATAATGCATATAAAGACAAACTGTATACTAATGAATGAAAGAGCATATAGACAGGAATAGTCACTTACCAAAACATTTGAGAGTTCGCAGGCAGCGCACCCCGGGCCTCGCCGCAAGCCGTGCCGAAAAGAGCTTTTTCGGTGGTTCGGTCGTCCTGTTCAAGGAATTAGAATTAGTTAATTAATTCTTGATTAGACTCTTTATTTCGGTATTTTTCTTCACTAAGTCTGGATCCACGAGGAAGGTTAACCAGGCACTGTGGATGGGATGATATTCGATTACCTTCCTTGACAAAATATCCTCGTTCGATTAACAAACTGCCTTTCTCGGAGCGTGTCAGTTGCTATTTATGGTTTGATGAATTATAATTAGATAATCTTTATTAGTATAACTTTCTCTGTATGTTGGATCTGACTCCCACTTTCCGCCGTGTCTCCCTCGTTCTCCCAGCTTCTCCCTCCCTCTCCCCTACGCCCTTCCCTCCCTCCATCTTACCCTCTCCCCCTCCCTCCCTCCCTCCACCTCCCCGCCACCCTTCGCTCCAGCTCTGTCTCCCTCGTTCTCCCAGCTTCCTTTCTCCCTCTCCCTCCCTCCTCTTTCTCCCTCCCTCCACCTTCTCCCCTCTCCCTCTCCCTCTCCCTCCCTTCCCTCCACCCGCCCAGACCCTCTCATCCTTCCACCTTCGTCGCCGAGCTAAAGGAAAGTCTCTTCTCTCCTGTCTGTTTCTTTCTCCCTTCCTTCCGTCCTTCACCGGTCTTATCCTTCGCATTGAAAACCGAAGAATAGATTTATCAAAACTTCTCATCCAAAAAAGTAAGAAATGACGGCCAGTGAGACCTGTATATTAGCATTTTTTTTTAACTGTATCTTAACAAGGACTTCGCTTCTTTTGCCCTCATAGCGTTTCGAAGTAACACACACACACACACACTTACACAGACACACACACACACACTCACGCACACACACACACTCACACAGAAACACACACGTAAGTCTGTCTATATGTACGAGTATTTTCATTGTATCAGATCTCGATTAAAGAAATGTGGATTCTCCAGGTCTTAGTTTCCTTTGATGTTTTAATTAATGCTGTCGATTCTCTAGGCTCAGCTGATTAACATGCCGATGCCAGCCTTTGATGTATTTTGGGCGATGGTCATTTTTCCAAATGGTAATCCTATTCTTTTGATTGATTGAGATAGATAGATCGATAGATAGACAGAACGATAGATAAGTAGAGATAGATAGAGATAGAGATAAAGATAGATAATGAGAGAGAGAGAGACAGAGAATGTTATTTAAAAAATCAGTACTAATGTGACAAATGAAATGATTTTATGATTCTGAAATATATTTTGAAGTTATATTTTTTCCATTTTATTTAGTGCGACGAAATTCTAGAGACTGAGTCGAAGAGAGCTTCTGAAGGAGTTGCAAAGGGCGAAGCCGATGTCCGCGCAGAACCTCCCACTCGGAAGCACAAGCGTGTCCGAGTCCGGTCTACTCGGCCTTGACGACCTGCACGAAGGGGGACCCGACGACGCCGGGGAAGCCGTAGGCGCCGGGGAAGCCGTAGGCGCCGGGGAAGCCGTGGAGGCCGCTGTAGGCGAGAGGGGCGCCGGGGAAACCATGCAGGCCGCTGTAGGCGAGAGGGGCGCCCGCGACCACAGGGGCGTGGAGGCCGAAGGCTCCGTAGGGGTAGGAGTTGGTGAAGAAGGGCGAGAGCTTTCCGTTGATGGTGGAGAGGTAGCCGCTGTAGGTGGAGATGGCGCCGTCCAGGTCGAAGTCGGGGGCGGCCTCGGCGGCGGCGGCGGCGCGGTCGAAGGCGGCCTGGAACTCGGACTTGGCCCTCGCCACCTCCGCCGTCTCCTTGACGGGCACTGCGCACACGGCGCCTACCAGAGCCAGGATTGCCTGAGGGACGTTCGCTCCGTTAGTACTGTGCACAATCACGGAATTACAGGTACATATTGCACCACCAGTCACCGAGGGAAACCGAACTACGCAATGCCAATAGCGAAACATTCTCCCTCGGCCGAACGCGGCCGCGTCCGAATACTCACCACGAGCTTCATGTTTCCTTCCGAGAAGTGCGAGTTCGCGAGGACACAGAGCCGCCGACGTCCCGCTCGCATATATACCGGGAGGACATCCCCCGCGGCGCCAATTACCCTTTTAGTGCAGTGGCGTTGAGGGCGCTCGCGAGCGGCCGCCGAGCTGTCTAAGGACTCGCTGGACAGTCCCGCTTCTTGAGGTGCCCATTGCTCGGGTTTCGATGTAATTAGGGAGACGGAATTGCCTTCGAAACAGAAGAGTTTCCCCCAAACGGAATGGTAACAACTTGGACGGGACCTTGGGAACAGGGCGAGGCCCATCACGCTCGTATTGGATT